GAATTAAAGAGAGTAATGTTTAGAGAAATACAACCAAGATTTATACTAGTTCACCCAATCCCAGGGCTACGTCCAGTTCTTAGCCAAATTCCAGCTGAGTTCCACTAGATTGAATGTTTTACAGATTACAGATTCCAATCACACACCCAATCTACCACAAGACCCAAATTCCAGGTCTTGCACCTAAACCTTCACCATGAACCAAATTCCAGTTCTTGAATCAACCTACAGCCAAATTTCAAATTCCAGCTACAGAACCAGTGCCCAACAATTCCAGACACACACCACCCATGAACCAAGTTCTAGTTTTGGTACCAACCTGCAGCCAAATTCTAGCTACAGAACCAGTGCCCAACAATTCCAGACACCCACAATACAGTAAAGAAATGTAAAGAAACAAAGAGAAGAAACTAGAACAATCAAACCCGGATTATGTAGCTTCTACAGAATGAGTTTCTTCACCAAAAGAATGCAAAAATTGCCCCAAGAAAGAACTAGGAAAAACTTCACAAAAACTTGTGCGATTCTTTCTTGAAAATAGCTCTTATGATTGCTTGATTAATTGCTCAAAAGTATATTTTAAAAGAGTGAAGCAATCCTGTTTATATAGAGATTTGTTCTAACTGTTGGTTTATTTAATCTGTTAAAACAATCTTTTAATATGTTAAAAGCCTTGAATTAATCTGTTAAAAATTCTTTTAATTTGTTAAAATGTTCTTGATTATTTTCCATATTTGTTTTAACTGATACGATAACATTTCAATCGATTAAAACAATTAACAAAAAGTCCCTTAAGTTGTTTTAATCGATTAATTCGCAATTTAATCGATTAACATTTTGCCAAAAACTTTCATAAAACTTTCTAAGTAATTTTAACTGATAACAACAAGTTTTAATTGATTAAAACAGTTAGCAAAAAGTTCATTAAGTTGTTTTAATCGATTAATTTACAGTTTAATCGATTAAAATAATTCTGATCGGTCATATATGAGATTACATCGATAAAAAAACTTTTCAAGTGGTTTTCATCGATTATTTCGAAGTTTAATCGATTAAAAAAACTTCTAGAACACTTTTCAGAACATCTTAAGTGATTTTAATCGATTATTTTGAATCTATATCAGTTAAAACACTAGTAGAAGATTTTCAAAACTCTTTTAATGAAAATAACCGATTATTTCGAAAGCATATCAGTTAAAAATCTGTTATGTAAGTTTTAAAAACATTTTAATTGATAAAGCTCATATAATATCAGTTAAAACAATTTCTTAAAAGCCATTTAACTGATTACTTTGGTTTTTAACAGATTAAACATCTTTAGAGGCATTTTCAAATTCTTTTAAATGATGAAACCTCATGCAGCAGAGAGATATGAATGATTATACCTATGTATAGATGCAGACTCACTAATCACTCTACCCTTTTAACCCAAGTAACCTTTGACTTCATCAGATTAGCCTTTGACTTCATCAAATCAACAAGATATTCGTTTTATGAAATGATTCAATAAGATCTTCAACACTTTCACAACTTAGGTCACGGTTTTCACCAACTAAAAGGACAAAGAAAAGAAAACTAGCAACGACAAAACAAGGATCCTAAGACAAGCAAGAAAGGTACAAAAACAAGAAAGTAAAACTCTAAGAGGGAAAATTTTTGAGACAGAACTTTAGGAAGACTAACACTTTAAAAGACTCTATGGAAAAGTATTTGAACATGCCTTTGAACAACTTAAATCATGCACATGCCAAGGAAGACAAGAACCACAGTTTTTACTGAACTAATTTGCCAATATCACCACATTCAAGTTTTCAATTTGAGAGCATAACACCTTAGAAAAAAAATGCAATTTCACTTCCCTAAGCTCCAAGTTTGGTCTCGATTTTTAGCTAGAATTTTTGGGAAATTTTTTTTTCTCTTTTGCAAACAAGTTTCCCAAGGTGATAGAAAAGGGTTTCAAGGTGTCTTGAACACTTAGTTCCTTGAGTTTTGTCACAAATCAATTCCAAAGCACATACACTAAATAAGTCATGTAAACATGCAAGATTCAAATATTTTAGAAAAACAAGAACAAGAAAATCATTAGTTAACATATGACATATGACTCAAAATCAAAGATAAACACATTTAAAGACTCTTTCAACATGAGAGACAAAATTTTAACATGGTAACACTACAAGTAGCTCTCGGTTTTCCAAGAAAAAAAAACAACAAAAATCATGTTCACAACTTCACAAGATCACCAATATATGGAGATGGAGTTCTAGATACTTAAACCTTGAAGTGAAGTGGAAAAATGTGCAAGACCAAGTTTGAACAAACCAAGGCCGAGAGTCCACCAAGAGTAACAACACAAGACAACAAAAGTTAGCACAAGAAAAACACCATATTCAAGATAACCATGGCTCTAGATACCAACTGATGTAGGTTTACTTTAGTTCTTTGAAATAGGGTGTTAGATTACTTAAGAAAACCTAGGGAAAATTCCCACTGGACATTAAGATATCAAGTTATCTAGATGTGAAGGTGCATTTCCAACGGCTTAAGAGAGGAGTGAATGGAATTAATATTGATTAGGAAAACAACACATGAACAAGGAGAAAAAATAGAAGAAAAGAACAACAAAATGTAAGATATAGAGGATGGTGATGGTGAGGAAACACGCCACTCTTTGGACAAGGGCCATAGTAGGCACACCAAGTCAAGAGATAAGTGGTGAAACCGCCACTTGCTTAGGAGCAAGATAAGGTCATGGAGTCTCCACCCTAGGGAGAAGATGCTCACGAAAATATGGTTGGACAAAGGAGTATTTTGATTTCAAATGTTCAACCCCTACTAAGGAGAAGAAGAACCCCTTAAATAGATAGTCTTGGGGGCTTCTTAGCAAATAACAAAAGTTCTAAAAAGGGACATTTGCAAATCCTAAAAAGTATCTTCTACAAACCTAACATGAAAGCAAGAAAAAGACAAATGGAATGTTGGACTTCCTATGGTGATTCTTGGCTATGACTAAGGAGGAGACCACATTTGTCCCATTCACCACCATAAAGCACCTTTCTCTTTATGCTTTTGCTTTATGCTTTCCACCTCATGCACATGTGGTCCAATCCTAGCTTGTCATGTGGAGAGTCCTAATCATCCTCTTAATCTATTTTTAACCTACAAGACACAAATAAAACTAGATTATAATGTTGACTTGGGTTAAGTCAACTCTAGTAAAAAAGTCAACACAAGTTAAGGTCAACAAGTCAACTAAAATTAACTCTACTCTATTCAACTTAGGGAATTCAAATTAAGCTAATGAAAAATAAAGATAGGGTAGAACTAGAAGACTCCCCCCTTGTCATGCCTTCATCGGGGTTAGATGTAATCACCAAAATCTCTTATATATTTTGATTATATTTATATATAATCTCCATTTCTCTTATTTATTATTTTTTTATGTTTGTGTATATTGATTATTGTGGCTTAATCAACCATAAATTAATTGCATTTGTAATAGATTGGAAAATCATTATAAGTTCTTGACCTAAAATAAGACAATCAATAAATGAATTTTCTAGGAATGAAGAATGAGTTATAGATCATTTTTATATCCTTGAACTTAATGCAAGTTTATCCTATTGATTTGACAAGAGATTGTGATTCAAAAAGATATAATTATGGTTTATTCTAAGGTATTAGAGTATAACTATTCATGATAAGGATTAATGGAAACGAAGAGGAAGGAAAATTTATTTAATGATCTTAATAGACTAAGAGAGTGAGATGGTGAAGTCTATTCCCAACAATATCCATATAACCATTTTTATCTAATTTAGCTTTCTTTAGTCTAAAATTACAAAAGATATTGTATTTGTTTGGTTTTAATATTGCTTCCAATTATCAATTGTTTTTATTTCAATTTAAGACTAATAACATGAAGTCAATGTATTTCTTAGTATTACCCAAGTTCTTGTGGATTCAACACTCTTAGTCATTTTAAAACTAATGGCGACAGTAGTCACTACAAAAAAAAAGCTGATTATCTACGGATAAAAATCTGTAGGTAAAATATATATTACATACGGATATTATCTACAGAATTTTATCCGTATGTAAATTATCTATTATCTACGGAATTTAGCTACGGATGAGATGATTATGAATTACCTACGGATATAGGAGGTAGGTAATGTTCTTTTACTACTTTACCTACTCATTTACCTACGGATGTTTAATTAAAAAAAAAAAAATAAACCCCTCACTCGGACCCTCGTCACACTTCCTCCGCGCCTCACCCAACCTTCCAAACTCCTTCCTTCCTCTCCCTCAATTTCACTAACCTACACTATAACCCGTAGTCCACCTCCTTCACCAGAACCTTGACTGTAGCCTCCCCACTCTTGAGCACCCCACACGGTACCCTCATTTGAACCCATATACCCAACCCTATTCTCTCCACCACCGGGCTTCTTCCCCATCACCACCACAGCCATACCCGCGTGCCCTAATTCCACCTTCACTCACCAAAGCTTCTCACCAACGCAGAACCACCCCGCGGTCGCACCCCATCTCAGCTTCCAGCCTGCAGATTCTCACCCAATCACCCTCACTGGAACCACCACGTCTCACGACCATGAAACCCCCCTTCGGCGGCCTCCACCACCATCTTCACGATGCACGTCACTCTGAGGTCATCGTCCCCTTCGTTGAGCCATTGGTCGCACCTCCTAGCATTTGTTGCTAGCCACCGCGAGGCCAAGTCGCAGTCGCGACCTCACCCTAATCCAGCCACCACCAAAGCTCGACGTCAGCCGCGACAACCACCACCATCGAGCGTCCCAACCCCCACTCCTCACCACCAATGTCTCCACTCTGCTCCACTTCCCTCACCCTGTGTTGAATCTCTCCCTTTGCCCCAAACCACCGCGCATCACTGCCCATAGCGGGCCACCGCGAAACCCAGCCGCAGATTAACTTCCAGGTCACCACACCACCACACCCCCTGTCGCCCCCTATCACGAGCATCGTTGTAACCCAGAACGAGAATCACCTCGACGCCGGCTGCAGTCACCACCTGCTGCAGTCACCGCTTCTCCTCGGTCCAGTCCACCCCCCATGGGGCCACTGAGTTTGTCGTGACCTAAAGGTGAGTCAGGGAGGCCACGGGTCAAGCCTAGTGTTTCATATTATTCTACTTTGATATGTTTTGCTCTTGTTCCTATATCAAAATGCTTGTGTGCAGGCCCTGAACAATATTAGCCAAGGGTCTTTTTGGGACAGCGAGATCAAGCTTGTTTTTGTCTGTGTATTGCGCTTCTGCATGGTAAGCATCCAAAAACTAGTTCATGCGCTACTATATTGTTACTGGTTTTCTTCCTGGTAAATTTGCTAGTTGAGTTTGATTTTTCCAATCATGTTGAAGAATGAAATAGCATGTTGCCCATGTGGAATATGAGGGTCAACATGTTCGCATAAAAGTGCCAGTTGAATTGTTCAAGTTTATGTTAAATTCCATCACTGATATATAAAAAGGCTTTGTATGTAGTTATGATAAAAACAAACAGATTCTTATATGTAATGGTGAAACAAATACCAGTATCCAATTAATATAGCAATTATTCAAAAGATTTCTATCATTGCTATATACACTAATACACTAATATACATATCATTGCTATCAAAAGATTTCTATCATTCAATTCCACCAGACATTTCACTGCCTAATGCAACCATGGCACTATCTGGGGATATACAAGTCACCCTTCTAATGATTAAGGGTTAGGTTGGCTTTCCAAATCTAATTCCATACTCATCCCACCCACTTTTTACTTCAATGCAATCATCACCAGAAACAATGTAGCAGTCTTCAATCCTAGTGTTTGTACATGAATCTGTGGAGAAGAGAAAAAAAAGTTAGGAATATAGACAGTGGTTGTCAACTAATATAGGAAATCCAAGTAATGAAAAACATTTTAGTATCAATGCCCCTATTATGACTAGAAAAATTTCAAGTATGTTATCAAACTATAAACTACACAAGAAAGGGAGAAAGGTTAGAAATTTAGTGACGTAAGTTTGCCATCAAAAGTGAAAATAAGTATATAATAGAAAACAAACATTTCACCTGGGTCTATTCCATCTGTGTTGGGAGAGGTCACTGGTGCAAGAATGGTAAGCCCTTTTATAATTATGTTACTGAAGATGTAAACCATGGTCAGAATAATGAAGCACACTATACATCAAGTTAGGGAAAGAGTACGAAATTTTAATACATTTGATCAGAAAGAACAAGCCTTATAACAAACCTGCTGTAAATTGGATGGACAAACCAGCTTGGGGAATTGACCAAAGTGAGATCTGATATTTGAATTTGATCAGAGTACATGATCTCAATCATGTATGGCCTGGTGAGAGTCAATTGGTTCTTGTGGAACTTGTCCCACCAATAAGATCCTTGACCATCAATTGTACCATTTTGACCTAAAGACCAAATTCAAATAGGTCAGATTAATAATATTTGGCCACCTTAAAACAAACTTAACAACCTTTAATAGCATTCTATTTTTTGGAATAAATAATTACCATTTATTACAACATCAACGAGGTTAGTCCCAAAAATTAGACTGCTAAACCTTCCACCAGGAGCATCTCTTCCTCTTCCATAAGAAGGTAGTACAGGAAGTTGGGGCCATTCTGATTCATCCTGTTAATGTGGTAATGTAAGTGACCCTTTAGAAGATCATAGAGTCTAAAAATGTAAATGGAAGAGAATGGAGAAAGCAGTGGCTAGAGGCTAAACCTGAGAAGCAAGAAGAACAACACCCTTTTGGAGAAAGAGAGTGAAATGGCTTGTAAGATTGTAGGGTCCCGTTAGCCATTTTCCAAGTGGCACAATAAGTTGTGCACCTCCATCAGAAGCATATTGGCTTAGTTTGCTTATTGCAGATCGAAACACCTTCGTGTTCGATGTTTTTCCATCACCAACCCCACCAAATTCTGTCAAAATTGCACTGTGTTTTCTGCAATTTATGGCAGGGTATTCAACGTTGCTCAATCCATTATATTCCCTACATTCTGCTACCTTCACATTTACTGCTCCCAATATTATTATCAAAGAGATCACACCAATCACACCAGCTTGAATTCAAGATATGTGGCTCTATTGAGTGTGAAATGAAAACACCTGGTTTTAGATACTTGTATTTTTTTTCTTGTGTTCAATTGTTATTGTTAATGCTCTTAGCGAAGTAATGTAAAAGGAAAAATTGTAATTAGATCCCAACATCCCCACCACGCTCCGCAGCCTCATGGCTCACATGGGCTTACTGTGCTCTAAACACTACAATGCCTGCATGACCACCCCACTCCTCGGTTACAGTTGAGAAACATTGTGGAAGGCTTTGATACTAATTGATAAGCATCTTAGGGAAGCCACACTACAAAAGCTGGCTGCTATTGTAGTTGAAGAGCCCAAAACCTTATGATCCCCACATTTTCCATTCCTTGCAATCGGATCTTAACACATTATGTTTTTTTGTTAAATGGTTCATGATCTGATACCATGTTATGAATCATCTAATGACATATTAACTGGTTCATGAGCTTTTTAAAATGCAGAGATTGTTGATATTGAAGCTTCACAAAAGATAGAAGGATAAAGGGAAGGAAGTGGCTGCTCATCGAATTTCAAGATCTTTGTTAGTAGGTAAGTAATTACCTTTGACTTTTCTATATTGAATTTTAAATAATGATTGATTGGCTGGCTATGCATGCCATGTATTCAGTGAGGAATTGGGGGGTAGTAAATGTAACATGTAACATGGCTAGTGGAAGAATTGATTTGTTTGATTATTATTTTCAATTTGTTTGCATTGATTTAGGATGAAGATGAGATTAGTTATTCTAACCTTGTTGGCTACATGGAATGGCCTTCAAGTTATTATACTGGTCATTACCAAACACTTGTCAAAATCTATTCTAAGTTGGTATTTTAATTAGTGTAACATTGAAGTTCATATTTTGTAGAACATGGATCAATTTCATGAAAATCGCCACTGGATGTATGATCGAATCCATAGTAAAAGAGGTGGTTTAAAACAAAGTTTTATTGATGGTGTTGAAGAGTTTGTAATGAAAGCTTCTCAACAAGTTTGTTATCAAAATGAAGTCCAAACGAGATGTCCATGCAATAAATGTCAATGTACAAAGATCTTGCCAATGGAAATGGTTACACTTCACCTTTATAAAAATGGTTTCATGCCTGATTATTATGTTTGGGTTGATCACGGTGAGCAAATGCCTCATGCTAACAAAAATTGGACACATGCTTCAAGTAGTGAGTTACATTTTTCAGAAGATGAGTCATTGATGGCAATGCAGGACATGGTGTATGACGCACTTAGGCAACATGAAACATTTCAACCATCAGAGCCAAATATCATGGAAGAGCCTCCAAATGAAGAAGCTCAAAGATTTTATGATTTGTTGTTGGAAGCGAATAAACCTTTGTTTGAAGGTGCTTTAGACTCTAAATTGTCCATATGTGTAAGATTGTTAGCTTGCAAATCTAATTGGCATGTTCCTGATCACGCTTTAAATTTCATTATAAAAATGCTTTTGGATGTAACACCCAACAAAGATAGTTTACCAAAAAGCTATTATGATGCGAAGAGGTTAGTTTCAAAGTTGGGATTGGAGGCTAAAAGGATCGATTGTTGTGTTAATGGTTGTATGCTTTTTTATGATAATGGTTACGGGAAGAATGATGGAGCTTTACTACAATGTAAATTTTGTCATAAGCCTAGGTATCATGCCCCAAAACTTGAAACTCATAAAAATAAACCAATTCCGATTAAGAGCATGTTCTATTTACCTATAATTCCAAGGTTAAAGAGGTTGTATGCATCCATGCAAACGGCTGGACAAATGACATGGCACTATGACAATAAAAGACCAGAAGGTGTGTTGTGTCATCCATCTGATGGTAAAGCTTGGAAGCATTTTGATCAAGTTTATCCAGATTTTGCTGCTGAACCACGTAATGTAAGACTAGGTCTATGTTCGATGGATTTAATCCATATATTCAAGCATCTCGCCACCCCATATTCTTGTTGGCCGGTAATTATGACCCCATATAATCTTCCTCCCGAAATATGTATGTCCAGACCTTATATGTTTTTGACATGCCTCATTCCCGGTCCACGTAATCCAAAGTCATGTATTGATGTGTATTTACAACCTTTGATAGATGATCCGAAGCAATTGTGGAGAGGAATTGAAACATACGATATTTCAAGGAAGCAAAATTTTGTAATGAGGGCTAGTTTGATGTGGACTATTAATGATTTTCCTGCATATGGTATGTTGTCGAGGTTGGGGGACTCAAGGTAAACTAGCCTGCCCGCATTGCATGGGGGATACAAAGGCCTTTACATTGCAGAATGGGAGGAAAAATAGTTGGTTTGATTCACACCGTAGGTTCTTGCACAAAAATCATGTATTTAGAAGGAATAAAAAAGCTTTCAGAAAGGGGAAAACTGAAACTGGTGACCCACCATGTACATTGACATCCGAGCAAGTTTGGAGTATAATTATGGATGTACCCAAAGTCATAGATTACCCTCATATGAACAAGTTACCAGGCTATGGGGAATGGCATAATTGGACAAAAAGAAGTATATTTTGGGATTTGCCCTATTGGAAGGATAATTTATTGAGGCACAATCTTGATGTTATGCACATAGAGAAAAATTTCTTTGACAATATATTCAACACCTGTCATGAATGTCAAAGGTAAGACAAAAGATAATGATAAGGCAAGGAAGGACCTAACTTTGTATTGTTGTAGACCAGATTTAGAGTTGAAGTTGCAGGCTAATGGGAAGATGGTAAAGCCAAAACCAAATTATACTTTAACTGCAGAGGAAGCAAAGTTAGTTTATCATTGGATCAAGGAACTTAGAATGCCTGATGGTTATTCATCCAACTTAGCAAGATGTGTCGATGTAGACAAGGGAAGGATGCATGGGATGAAGAGCCACGATTGTCATATTTTTATGGAGTGTTTACTCCCTATTGCATTTAGTTCATTACCAGTGCATGCTTGGAACCCTCTTACTGAACTGAGCCATTTTTTTAAAGATTTGTGTTCTAGAACATTGAGGCATCATGACTTAGCTAAAATGGAAGAAAATATTCCAATAATTCTTTGTAAGTTGGAGAGAATATTTCCCCCTGCATTCTTTGATTCAATGGAGCACTTACCTATTCATCTTGTGTATGAAGCCAAACTTGGTGGACCAGTTCAATATAGATGGATGTATCCATTTGAAAGGTAAGAAGACTATCATTGATTATGCACAAAATTTGATTTACTAAATATTGAGCTAATACCATCCTCATTTCAATGATTTTCTAGATTCATGGGTGATTCTAAACGATCAGTAAAAAATAAAGCTCGTGTTGAAGGATCAATTTGTGCCTCATACTTGCATCGAGAGACAACTCACTTTTGTTCCCATTATTTCAAGAACTTCATTCTATCACCACAGAATAAGAGAAATGAAATACAAGTTGAAATTGAAAGGGATCCATCAAGGTTATCTATCTTTAAGGTGCTTGGTCGTCACTCAGGAAAGACATCAATTCATTGGTTAACCCAAAAAGAGTGGAACTCGGCTCATGTTCATGTCTTGATCAACTGTACCGAAATTAAGTCATACCTTGAGTGAGTATTTCAAACACTATATTTCATAATTATATCATTTTCTTATTTGATTAAATTGTTCTCCATCCTTCTCCTATCTTTTCATAGTTCCTTCTTGCAATGTGGTCAACCCAATGACTCAAATGTGTCAAATCACATACATAGACATTTTCCTCAATGGTTTAAGTACCAAGTATGTATTGTTACATTAATAACTTAGTTTATTACAATATACTTAAGAACATATGACTGTACCTTCTTTGCATTTGTAGGTTCATAGTGAGCCTTTAAGTGTAACAAACATGCACTTAAGGGAGTTGTCGATTGGTCCTTTCACATGTGTCAATAAATGGCACACATACTTTGTCAATGGATACAAATTTCACACTCATGCTTGGACTCGAGGGAAAAAAACCATTAATAGTGGTGTACATGTAAAAGGCCTTACGAGAAGGGGTGAAGATGATTTTTATGGCATCATTCAACACATATATGAGTTGCAATATAATACTTCAACCTCCCCAAAGAAAGTGGTGGTATTTTATTGTGAATGGTTTGATCCATCACGTAGAGGTACATTAGTGGATCCTAAATATGGAACTGTAGACATTCGCATAGATAGAAGATATTTACCATTTGATCCTTTTATCTTGGCACATAATGTTAGACAAGTATATTATATCCCATATCCGAGATCAAGAAAGGACAAAGAAGGGTGGTATGTTGCTATAAAAACAAAGCCTAGAGGTCGCATAGAATCTCAAGACATGGAAGATGATGTTCCTTACCAAATGGATGAAATGTCCCATGTAAATGAAGCTATTGAAGTTGAAGGTGTTTTTGGATTGCAACATTCACAAGTTGATGTTGAAGTAGTCCAGGAAGAGGAAGAGGAAGAGGAAGAGGAAGAAGAAGAAGAAGAAGAAGAAGAAGAAGAAGAAGAAGAAGAAGAAGAAGAAGAAGAAGAAGAAGAAGAAGAAGAAGAAGAAGAAGAAGAAGAAGAAGAAGAAGAAGAAGAAGATGATGATGAAGAAGAAGAGGAAGAGGACGAGGACGAGGAAGAGGACGAGGAAGAGGGACAAGATGAAGATGAATAGGATTCGTGTAGTTAAGAAATTGTTCTTTATGAGTTAATTTTTATATTGCATATTATGTATGACGTTATTCCTTCGCATAATTGACTATATAAATTTCTTATGTACAGATATGTCATCAGGAGGATGCGACTCACCCCAACCTCCCATGTCTCATCCCAAAAAGGGGAAAAAAGTAACGAAACGAAAAAAACCACGCTATATACTTAAAATAAATGTCCCTCCCCCACCTATAGCTCCCCCACCTTCTTCATCTGTAGGTGCTGAGAATATACATGCCCATACAAACAATATTGCACCTACAACCACTTCTGCCCCATCCCCAGTTGATGCATCCAACCCTAGTCCATCACCTGTCATTGCATCAGCACCTTCCCCAGGAGCTGCATTGCCTTCAGTATTATCAGTGCCTTCTAGAGTCCATCATACACTAGCTAGGGAAGACCAAGAAGTGCATATTCGGGAAGGTGACGCACAATCAAACATTGAGGAGGATCATCCACTTGGCACTAATCTTCCTATCATATCACCTTATGGTCTAGGGTAAGAATTAAGTTAAAATTATATTATTCCCATTATTTGCAAGTATTAGGAAATTGTGATTATTATTTAATTTAATTATTGGGCGAAGGTTCCATCCATGTCGGGTTGCATCACAAGCTATAACAATGACTATTAAGCAACAATATTCTAAGCCATGGCTGACATGGGGTTCAATGACCGATGTTGAAAAAGAGACATTCTTTCAGCGGTTTAAAGTAAGTTTTCTTATATTTAGGTTGATGAATTTTTTTTATTACTTACATTCATTGACACAATTATTATTATTTGTTTGTTTGTGTAAATCATTTGCAAAGAGAAAGGTCACCTGGAGACCCGAAGATGAGGACAGGATTCGAAAGAATTTTCACTCAAAGGCCTCACATAGGCTATCTGAAATGTTCAAAGAGGCTAGAAGGACAGAAAAGAAGCCCTATTGGATATTTGATGATGTGTGGAAGACTCTGTTGAACAAGTGGAACTCAACTCATTATCGTGCAAAGTGTGCACAAGCTCAAAAGAATCGAGCTTCTGAGATGGGTGGTAGTTTACACACAGGTGGTTCTATTAGTATGTATGATCACGCCATTCGTATGGTAAATATGCAATTATAACAAAAGTTTCTTTCTTTCTTTCATTTCTTATGATATGTTATTAATTATTTTTTTTTGCAGGAAAAGGAGTTGGGTCGTCCTGCACATATTGATGAGGTTTTCAAACAGACTCATATACGAAAGGTTAATGGTGAATTTGTTGATGAAAGGTCTAGAAAAACTCATGTAAGTTGAGAACTTAGTTAATATTACTCTCTTATATGTTATGATAGATACGTGTTGTATAACGTACATAATTTTTATTTGTATGTTAATAGGAAGAATTTCAGAGAAGATACTCTCAGGCTAGATCTGATGCAGCATCCTGTGTTGCTGAAACTGAGTCATCTCCATTAGATCCTATAGAGGAGGAGAGAATAAGGACTGAAAGTTGGATTCTTGCTGCAGGTGGCAACAAAAAAGGTCGGATCTATGGTGTTGGAGAACTTGCCCATAATTTTAGGCCCGAAGATACCCTCTCATATTCGGGATCTACTCGATTCTCGTGACATTACGCAATTAAAGGAACAAGTGCTTAGTTATAGGGAGGATAATGAAAGATTGAGCCGCCAATTACAAACACTTGTCAGTGTTGTCCTTCCTTTACTTCCACCCGATGCCCGACAAGTATTTCAACAACAACCTTCCGAACAAGGATCACAACAACAATCACAGGAGCAGCAAGACCAGCAACAACAACAATCACAACATCAACCAGCTTTCGCAGAGCAGCCTCAAAATGAACAAGAACATTACTCAGATTATTAAGACACTCAAACAATATTGTCATAATATTTATTATAATACTTCTTTGGATTTATATGTTCTTAAATATTTTGAATGACTATTTGATGCATGCTAATATTAGGATTTGTGTTTGATATTTAAATATGCACTTGGTGCATATCAATATTATGAAATATTGTTAAATTTGATATCTAAATACTTTGTGTGTAATATGTATGTAATTAACAGATAAAATTTAGTTAAATCATGGTGATAAAATTTTATAATGAATGTGGTAATTACATACGGATTTTATCCATAGGTAATTACCTACGGATTGTAATCCGTAGGTAATTACCTATGGATTCTGTTCGTACGTAGGTAATTACCCACGGATTATAATCCGTAGGTAATTATCTACGGATTCTGTTCGTAGGTAATTAGCTACGGATTACAATCCGTAGGTAATTACCCACGGATGACATTACCTACGGATAATAATTCCGTAGGTAATTACCTACGACCATATTACATACGGATTATCTACGGAAAAAAATCCGTAGATAAAATGACATTATCTACGGATTTTTACCATTACCTACGGATTTTTGCCGTAGATAATCAGCTTTTTTTTTGTAGTGAGTGTGCTTGCCAAAAATTTAGTAGTGATACATGAAACTAGTTGAGTTTACTCTCATAGACAATCTAATGACTTGTACAAGGTCATGTAGGCTCTTCATATATATACTTGATGTATATTTTAGAGCATTTCTTCATGACATGAATCAATTGATCTCATGGCATCAAATGATATTCACAAGCTAGTATGGTTAGATGACTTTCAAATGATGATGTGTTTGTTAGCTTGTTTGATGGACATTAATTGATGTGTTGTCCACTAGATGTTGCATTGTTTATTTGTTGGTCTAGTATGCTTTGCTTGATGACTTGTCTAGTAGACTCATTGGATGAGCTCTTCCATTAGCTGGTCTATTGGGTATTTAGATAATTTATTATTTTTACTTGTTTCTTGTGGCATACTTAGCATACAAGTTAAATAATCCATAACTATATCATATTTATTATCATTAAAATCAAGAGTTAGGTTTAGTTTTCAATAAAGCCATCTTCCTTATTTGATGAATTGACATTTGATAAGGCTTTGATAGGTATGTACTCTCTTTGCTTCTATACTTTGAGAGAAAGAGATTTGTCCTTGTTTAGGTTTTTTAGGATTTTTAAGAGTTCTTCCATATACAGTTCATCTAGGTTCTTAGACATTTTAAAGGTTGCAACCTATGACCTCCATTGTCTAGAAAAACTTCACTAGAGTTTATCAATATGATTATAATTATCATAATGCTTACTTAGGAACACAATTGATTTGAAATATTCTAAACATACTTTGTATGAATTGAAAATATAGGTTAGATCTAAGAAGGGAGGGTGAGTTTGAATAGATCTAAACATACTTCATTATCTAGGTTTGTGAGTGGTTTCAGCAGAGATATTCAAGGTTTAGTAGAGTTGTATGAGTACTCCTTCATAGAAAATGTTTTACACCTTGCCCTTAAGATTGAAACACAATTAAAAAGGAAAGATAGGGCAAGGAGGAGTCACTCAAACAATGAGTACTATAACTCTATGTGGAAGGGAAAGGAAAAAAGAAAAGCATGATAGGAACCCTTCCAAGTCTCACCAAGAGGTCACTCTAAGGGATAACACGACTAGGAACCTCACTCCTAACTCCTCCATGCCTCAAAGGTCTAGTTCAATTTAATGTTTCAAATGCTTAGGGTATGGGCATATAACTTGTAATTCTCCTATCAAGAGAACTATGCTTTTGTGTGCAAGTGGAGAAGTTGAGAGTGAACATTCTTCTCCCCCTTCCTCCTTAATAGAGAACTCCTCTGGCTCATCTTTCTCCTCTAGTGAGGATGAAATCAAGCCTTGTGAGGGTGACTTATTAGTATTGAGACGCATGTTGGGACAAGTTCCAAAAGAACTTGATCACTATTAGAGAGAAAATGTTTTTCATACTAGATGCCTCATTAGTAGTAATAATGTTTTCTCTTTCATCATTTATGGAGGAAGTTGTGTGAATGTGGCTAGCACAAGGGTAGTGGACAAGCTTGGCTTGAAAATTGCCCCTCATGCCAAGCCATATAAACTTTCATGGTTAATTGAGGAGGGAGAGATTGAAGTAAATAAACAAGTCGTTATTAATTTCTCCATAGGGAATTATCAGAATCAGGTCCTCTATAATGTTGTTTCCATGGAAGTAACCCATATATTTTTAGGTAGGCCATGGGAATTTGACAAACAAAAAAAACCTTCCATGATGGTCATACCAATAACATTTCTTTTAACTTCCAAGAGAAGAAGATCACATTGGTACCCTCTCACCTCAAGAGATTAGTAAGGACTAATTAAAAATGAAAAATAAAAATAAAGAGGAAGATAGGAAGGAGAAAGAGCAAGCAAAGGAAGGAAAGAAGAAGGACATAATGATCTCTTACAAAGGGGTTAAGAAGGTATTGTTTGCTCACAAAAAGTTTTAGCTTACCCTACCTTAGGGTCGTATCTTGCATTTCATGATAACTCCTCTAGTTATTTGTAAGGTTTGGAATTAGTCTTGGATTATTTCAAGGATGTTTTTCAACAACCTCCAATTGAGTTGCTTCCCTTAAAAGGAATAGAACATCACATATATTATATTCCAGGATAATCCTTGTCTAATTGGCCAACCTAGAGGAGTATAAAGAGATTCAAAGGAAAGTAGATGGATTGATAGAAAAAGGATGGTGAAAAATAGCAAGAACCCTTGTGCTATGCTTGTAATTCTTGTCTCCAAAAAGGATGAGAGTTAGTATTTGAGCACTGAATGTACACTATAAGAAAAATTGAATTTTTCGATGGACAAAATCCGTCGATAATTAAGAAAATCCGTCGGTAAATATATATTACCGATGGATTATGGACGGGCAGAAATCCGTCGAAAATTAAGTTGTCAGTAAATATTACTGACGGATTTAAAATGTCCATTGGTAAAACACTCGTTCATTTTTTTCCAGTACCTTAAGGTTAAAGGCTGATACTCCAACCATTAGACTACTAGAATTTTCTCGATAATAATTTACCAATAGATTATATTTATTAAATATATAAATATATAAATATATAAATATATAACAATATAACATATAACATATAACATATAACATATAACATATAATATATATTTTTATATTTTTATATATTTATATATTTATATTTTTATATATTTTTATATTTATATTTATATTTATATATTTATATATTTATATATTTATATATTTATATATTTATATATTTATATATTTATATATTTATATATTTATATATTTATATATTTATATATTTATATATTTATATATTTATATATTTATATATTTATATATTTATATATTTATATATTTATATATTTATATATTTATATATTTATATATTTATATATTTATATATTTATATATTTATATATTTATATATTTATATATTTATATATTTATATATTTATATATTTATATATTTATATATTTATATATTTATATATTTATATATTTATATATTTATATATTTATATATTTATATATTTTTATATTTATATATTTTTATATTTATATATTT